ACCGTCTTATATATACAAGACTACCGCATATCTTGTTGAAGTCAATGACGTGTTACTAGCGTCACGTGACTTCCGCTCTCGTAACAGTATGACAAACTGATAAAAAAACACTACTTCGCGGCTACATTTAGGAATTTACATGTTTTCCTTTTTAAATTATTATGGTCTCTCGCATTTTTCTACCTGATGATACTGGGAATGTAGTTTAGAATCTCTCTGGAGTAATTCTCCCGCATTAGTTTGTTCACCAGCACAAATAGAAAAATATTTCTAACTTACTAATAACTGAAATTATTTAAACACAACGCAACGTATCATCAGTATATCGCATTTTCTATCTCTGTTCTAGCATTTCTATCCATCATGCCATGCTCTAGCAAACAAGGTTGAAATTGATTTTACTTATGCCATGATCCATTCGGTCTTGCATTCATTTAAGAGAATGGATTTAAAAAACATGTTTGAATCAAGCTTACGAACGTTTTTATTTGAACAGTCATCTACAGTTGCACAGCACACATTATTTTTTTACTTGAACAGTCATCTACAATTGCACAGCTCACATTATTCACGATTTTTATGGCAATGTGAGATGCTATGTTACAGACAAAGAAGCTAAAGCAGTATTTCTACAGAACTACAATAAAACGGCTAGTACGAAAGTCCAACACAAACATACAAATATAATAATTATCAACATAAGTATACAATTATAATGCATGTGGACAGTTTCTGAATCAACCAAAACATTTTCATGCTAATTCTAGCAAAGACAAATTAATTATGCAAGGAAGGACAAGTTCTGAACGATTTGTAATGAGATAACACGGGAATGACTGTAAAAGTTAAAATACAAAGCATACATAAAACGGTCGCCATTAACTAGGCATTATATTTTTGTTTGTTTGTAGTTTAAGCACAAAGCTACACATTGGGCTATCTGTGCTCTGCCCACCACGGGTATCGAAACCCGGTTTCTAGCGTTGTAAGTCCGCAGACATACCGCTGTGCCACTGGGAGTCTCATAGTTTTGTACCAGCTCTTACCATTTTAATTTCAATTTCACAGATTAACTATTATCGATTAGTTCTGGGTATGTTAACCAGATTTCCAAACCGAAAAACCGGGATAACCTAGCCCTTGCCCCTAATTTCAAAATCTTTATTACAAATTTGAAATAATTTAAATTTTATTTAATTTACTTGAAATTTATTGAACTGTCCCACTCTATTTCCAAAGATATTAAAAATTGAATTATTTTTGAAAGAATTTCAACTACTTTTTTGGGCGATAGACACACACATTTACCAACTGCTATTAGGTCTACAACAATACCACTAACTAAAACCCCTTCGCAGACCCTTCGCATTGTAAAACTGAGATCGAATATGAAAGAGATATTGATAGATATTGTGCCACTCTGTGTGTTTCAGTATATCTCTGCTGATCTACATGTGCCTAGCGTAGCATAAAAGTTTTGGAAACTTTGGAGAAAATGTCTCACAATATTTGACTTGTAAATGTGATGGACTGCGCAAGAAACATGGAATTGTATACATCATAACTGCAAGAAATAGATCTTGTACCATTCTGTGTATTTAAGAATATGTTTACTGAGTCATTTTCAGTATACGATAAAAGCTTTGAAAATTTTTTATTGTTTATTTATGGGAACTACTCATACATTTGTGCTGTAAAACTGTGGTGGTAGAATAAGAAAGATACGAAATTTAACATGATATTGCTCTGACAATTGATCTTTCGCCACCCTATGTAGTTAAAAATATGTTTGTTGACTTGTGAGTGTGTGAGAAAATTTTCAGAACTTTCATGATTTACTTGTGGAAAAGATAACTCATAATCTTGTTTCATAGCACAGTGATGTAAAGAAAAAATCGCAAATTGATTGTGCGCCAACTTGAAACCAATTTTAGCGTCACTTTAAATTGGACTTCTCACGTGAATTGCGCTACTATAATGTTCGTTTGTTATTAAGCACAAAGCTACACGATGAGCTATCTGTGCTGTGTCCACTCGGTTTTTAATTCGACAGTTCAAACACGAAAATGGATTCTTTGAATGATTAACCATATTCGCCTATTTGAAGAATGAGCAGCATGTTGCTTAATTTGGTTACTAAAATCATCCCATACCATCCATAACAAAAAACAAACAGCAGGCTTCGTTTCATTGTGCAATATACACACAAAAATTTATAACCTACAAACAATAAACAAGAGACTATTTAGTCCATCAAGATTGTCCTTACTCACCCTATTTTAAGAAAAATAAAACTTAAACCCACGTTTTATTCTTCCGGAAATTACTGATTTCTCCTTTCAAATTCTACTGCAACTCATTTTATAAACCAATTGCTCTATTAAAAAAATTTTTTCTTTCTTTACCGGAGTCTAGTCTTTCTTTTTTAAATATTAAACTTATGCCCTCTCTTTAACACAAAAAAATTAAAGGCCTTTATCATATTCGTACACTGAGTAATCTTGTAAGCTTCAATAAGATCATATCTTATTCTTCTTTTGTCAAGAGACAATAAGTTATGAAATCTTATTCTAACCCTTTAAGATAACCTTTGATCACTGGAATCATTCTACTGACCCTCGTTTGAACCTTTTTTCAGTAAGTCAATATCCTTTTATAAGTAGATAAAGATGCCACATAACTGTACACATAATTCAAATTGAGGCCTAAATAGCAATTAGTATAAAGAGATAACTATCTGTTCTAACTTATAGTCCACATGTTTCTAAATACACCCTAAAATTCTATTAGATTTGCTACCAGCAAGAGCACGATACCTCGATAGCTTGAATGACTTATCCATCACTATGCTAAGATCTATTTTTCCAGTCATGTTGTTGAGTGGGTTCCCATCTATATTAAACATGTGATACATTTTAACGCTGAAGGAGTGTCTATAATATATATATTATTCAACAACTTATATAACTTTTAGGTATATATTCAATATAATTTTTTCGTTATCAGGAAATAAAGATATTTCGTGATCTGGAACTTTTTGGACTGCCAAGATATTCTGAGTAAAATTTCGAAATCATGCTTATCAAGTTAGAAAAATAATAATAATTCACTATATCATAATATAAGTAATTACTTACCCGGAACTGAAAAATGAGATTGAGATTTGATTTTGACGATTCATAAGTAAAGCACAGTGATGAGGTTTTTGTGAAATTACTTCCTTATATCATTATTGCACCTTTCTTACGATTGTGTAACAGAGGGCGCTATTGCACCAGAACCGGCTCAAGGTAATTTGAGTGTGTCATGCAGTTGCTATATAAGATAAGGCATTTGCAGTTTTCTAGTATTTATAATTCGGATTTATTTCGAAACGAAATACTTTCACGAGTATATCAAGGTTTAGCTGGTGTTACTACGTCGTATGTGAAGAAAATGCCGATAAAGGTAGTAGATTATATGCATTTTTATTTGCATGTTTTGTACACACGAAAAAATAATGATTGTCAGTAATATTACCAATCCTACGATACAGTTACTGCTAATACTATTACTATCAGTAGTATTAGTACTACGTTAGTACAACTAGATTTTGAAATTTAAATTTGAAGCCCTGAGCTCTATCTTGACTTCTAATATAATATTCTGATTAGTATTGTTACGACAGCGGAAGTCACGCGACACTGGGAGTATGCACGCTGGAGTTTCTAGAAGGATCATGACTTATCGGGGGAATCTCATGAATATCCCAGTATTTGCTAGACGACCTCTTTTTTAGTATATAAGGGCATATGCAGATAGATTGAAGAGAGAGAGATAACTGAGTCAAGCGAACAGTAGGCACTGTAAGTAAAGTGTGTGAATCGCTGTGAATTATAGCGTGTGTTTATAAAATTAGTTAAGTTAAAGTGACTGTGGAAATTCTGTGTATTGCAAAGTTGTATTGAGAAAGAATCAACTAGTTTTAATTAAGAAAAGACTTGTATCGCTTAAGTTTCTCGGAAAGAATTTCTACGGGAAACTAACAAACAAGCAGATACGTAACAGTATTAATGTATAATAATACTAATTGTAGTTAACAACAGTATTACAATTATTAATGGTACTGGTACTAAGATGATTCCATGGAAGTAAAGGTTATCTATAAAGTGTAAGGATAGGATTCTCTCTTAAGAACTTTAGGGTAAGGGGCGTTTTTGTTGAAGTTTACAATATTAATTGGGGGTTTAATAGGATAAAGACCTTCAATTTCTTTCTGCTATATTCTGGAAACAATGAAACGAGAGAACACAAGTTTAATATCTGAGAATGACAGACGAGGTTACAGTTAAGACAGCTCTATTTTTCTAATGGGTAACTGAAATAAGTTGCTGCCAGCAGTAGTCGACTGGAGGCCAACCCTTTACAGGAGATTAAGGGGATTTTCGATTCTCAGAAAAGTAGGTCGTGTTTAAATTTTTACTTTTCTTAATATTGTATGTGTTTAAAAACTATCGTGAAGGACCAGATGATTCTTCATTGTCCATATGTTATGTATGTGGTAGTAGTGGTCAGGTTTTGATCCCGAGTCTTTTCTTCACCTAAAGGCTGGTGTGCTAACCACTTGTCCAATGTCTCCCACATTAGCAACCAAATCAAATATCTATATAAATGATTTCAAAAGTTGTGGCCTGGTTTTGCGTACTTCTGTGCTAGATTGATTGAGTGCATTATTCTGCTATGCAGTATACTAATACTTAGTTGGTCAACCTTTTCTATTCCAAAACATTAATGTTAATGTGACATGCTTATTTTTTTATTGAAAAAGTAAAAATGTAGTAATAAAAATTCTTCTGTACTTAGTTGTTTCTTTAATCTAGAAATTAGAACAAAGTTATATTATTATTAAAACATTTCACTAAATCATACATGTATATTTTGTGATGTATAAATGGGAAAAATTAAAGCCATCACGGTTGGGAATAAGGACACATTTAATGATGAATCTTCAGTAATTTATTTCCAGGTATATTTATGAATGTTAAACTATTGTGTAGTAAAAAAATTTAATAACTTTCTAAGTTTTATTATAAAGAAAAAGGTGGATATGCAATATGTACAAACATATATTTATACTATCTATTACCAAATCTAAATTTTTGTAGTCGTTGACCTCTGTATAAAAGAATGTAAGGACTAGGATACTATCTCTCTCATGCACATCTGTTTTAGGAATAGTTGCCTTTAACAGATGCTTGTACTGTTCATAACAGTCTACTATAATTGTCTAGCTCTAGCTCTTTGACTTGGGATTTGTTCTTGAACTTATGTTACTGGCATATACAATTACCTAGAGTATATAACAGGTGCGTTCATTCCGTGTATGGATTTTTATTATTTGGGAGGGAGGTGTGTTTAAGAACCTGCATTACAAGATTAGACCACAGAAAAAATTGTGATTTGCTATACCTTCTGCTTCTTAAGAAAACTTGCTTGTTGTGTTGGTTGTTTAAACAAACTTGAGTGGGAAGTAGCAGTAAAAATAAGGGAAAGATGAAGCTACATATTTTCATCAAGATCCTACAAACATTAGTACTAACAAGCAACAAACCTTTGCTGGTTGAGGTTTCCTAACATTCCAACAACAACAAAATAGTATTTATTATGTTGTAAAAAGGTAAATAAACCAAAAAGTGTACAGAGTACAGAAGAAAGTAGCGACTAGTGTTTTAGAGATTTTGATTTAATCAATATTTTCATGAAAGTTGATTATTTCTCTTCAAACGTAATAAAGAGATCTACATAAACACCTCCTAATCACTACAACAACTGTATGTAGAGTGGAGGATTGTTTTGAAGCTATATAGCATGATGGCATGCACTGTTGTAGGTTATTCATGATATGAGGAAGTCAGTGGAACTTTTGTAATGCTCCTTCCTGTTTGAGACTTACTCAATGATAACTCAAGATTGGTGTAATAAAGCAAAATACTTCCTGTACATCATCAATGTTTCTTTGAAGGTTAAGCTACAGTTAATTTGTTGGAAAGGAAAATGTGTTTGGGAATTCTTTTTGACTAATTGTCCTTGCTTGCATTAAAAAATATGAATGAACTGAACGTATTTGTCATCATGCATTGTCAAGAATATATTAACATGATCTACAAAATAAGTTCTACCAATCAGGTTTGTAGGCTTTGTTAAAACAAAAAGCTTGTATTAAAAGAAGCTGGATCACACAAAAAAAGTGTATACATGTACTTTTTTAAAGATTTTATAAAGTTTGAAGTAGACACACTGTAGAACGGATTATTTTCTATTGTTATGAATCTCTTCAATGTATACCTTCATTAATACAAGTAGAATTTTTAAAACTATTTAGACAGTATCTGTTTTTAATTTGAACTTCAATAATTATGTGAAAATATGAAGTGTGACCAAAGTTAGCAGGATGAGAGTAATACAGTAATTTTTTAGAAAGTTTAGAAAATTTTTAGAAAGAAGTCATTTACTTGTCCTTCTGATCACATTTAGGCCAGTTAACATTGTTTTACACTTAACACGTCATACAAGGGTTCAAAAATAAGTTCCTTGTTAGAAGACTTATCAAGTTATTTGCTTGCATAAATCATCTAGCAAATGGTTCTAAATCCATATTTAATAAAATAATGCAAGCTACCATGTCAACTGTGCTAAAGTGAGAAAATAAGCCAAGTAAATGGACAATTGCTATGGATACACATGGACAGGTTGCCACCCCCTACTAGTGCAATTATAAGAAAAATATCAACATAAATCAGTGATACATGTCTATAAACAAGTTCACCACCTTTCCATGCTCTTTTCTCTTATTTTTGACTTGTTCCATGCCAAGGTGGCTGTGACTACATTTGTTGTACTTCTATAGATGCAAATTTTGTGTATTTTCACTACTGAATTTGAGTGTACAAAACCTAGTGGTAGTAACTTTACATAAAGAATAATGCATGTTAACTTTTAAAACTGATTAAACTAAACAACTTTAATGGTCTAAACAAGCTCCATAACATCTGAACCTTAACAACATTGTTTATAAATGTTTTCAACAGGTAGGGGATAAATTACCCAGTATTTGCTTATGTGAAAACAACCCTGACAACAAAGTCGATATAGCCAAACTTTTTGCTGGAAAAAGAGGAGTGCTGTTTGCTGTACCAGGTGCTTTTACACCAGGATGTTCAAAGGTCAGCTCTTACTTTGTTTAGGGAACAATTTTCTGTTTTCTAGTTGAGAAAGGGTCATTTTGTCATCAGTACATTAAACCTAAACTAGATAAGTCATTTTTATAAGTAAAAGTTCTTAATTTTTTTTATTCTTTTCAGACTCACCTTCCAGGTTATGTTGAAAAGTTTGAAAAGCTGAAAGAAAAAGGAATTGAAATTGTTGCCTGTGTATCAGTCAATGATCCATTTGTCATGGAGGCATGGGGTAAAAACCATCAAGCTGAAAACAAGGTAACTGCATTTTATATCTTTCAGTGGAAAGGAAACCACAATCTTGTATTAAAAAAATCATTTGCAAAAGACATTTTATGCATTTTATTCCACATACAAGTGTGCTCTACACTTTATTTAAAATACGTGACAAAACAAAATCATTGGTCAATCACTTAAAAGTTAGAACCTGAAGTCTGGAGATTTGATTTTAGTTTTATTCTCTGTAATGCTGAATGTTGTACTTTTTGTTTTCAACTCCTAAAAATGTGCACCATTCTTAATGTATTTACTGCTCATTTAGTTACTTGAAGGTACATTATGTGGAACTTGATCTAAATAAACCATGTGTAGTATACATTGGCCTTCTCAGTTCTTTATCTAATTTGTACTATTAATGCATCAAACAAAAAAAGAGTTAATGTTGCCACATGTTTGTAGAGCTTAGTGGTAATTCGTAATGGATTAGCACCATGGTGCATACAAAAAGTTGGCAGCAGGTGATGTCAGCCAATTGCCTTTCTTCTGTTTAACAGTTCAAGAAAGAAAATTGGCAGTGGGTGCTGCCAGACAGTGACATATAGCCTTAGTAGATTTGCCAGAACAAAAACAAGCAAGTTTCTTGGCATTGTAGATCAAACCTGACACTCTCTAACCACAAAAGTTGAACAAATTTGAATAGACAAAAAAACTTAAAACTGCTTAAAATGAGGCAGGAACAAGTAGCCCATTATGTAACTTTATGTTTAACAACAAATAACATACTAGTAATGTTTCAATTACTTGAAATAATAATAATTGGAAACCTTAATTTTAATTAGTTTATTTTTGTGATAATTTCTTTAACTGTAATTTTGATTAATCGATTAGTTTACATGACACTAAATAGATGTAATCTCTGCTATAAATAATCCATCATATTGATTAAATTGCTCAGCTCTAACATTTGGACACTAGCAGTATCAAAACGTGTGGCAGTTTTAACTTTAAGTTCACTAAAGTATATTCATTTTTGTACCTCTACAGATTCGTATGCTAGCTGATCCAGCTGCAGAATTTACTAAGGTAAGAAGAAAAAAACACATTTACAACATTGTACCCCCTCAATAACGCAAGATGTGAACATTTTGCAAGTATACTAGGAAAGACTCAACTTTATTGAAGGAATTATACACTTGGATATTTATTATTAAAGCTAAGCTAAAATTTCTGTGTGTGTGGAACTTTAAAATATCAAATTTTAAAACTCAAAGTTCCAATCAACTTTTTTCTTTTAGGGTATTTTGCTAAAAATATCGAACATTCTAAGTCACATTTTTATTTATCTTTAAGATTATTATATTAAAGAAAGCCATAACTTGAAAATGGATAAAAATAGTTAAAATGTAAATGTACATCATAGGAAATCTAGAGTTAATTTAGCACTGTTAATCTATCCTATATTTCGAAAATTGTTTTTGAGCAGTCATACAATATTAACTATTTTAAGATTAATAAAAGAAAAACATACAACTTCCTTACAATTATTGTCAAAATCTCTATCTCATTACTTTTTGATATAAAAAAATTAAATATATAAAAATTGTGCTAGGCTGGTTCTAAATTTCATGAATCTGGAATAATTCTCTGCTTGGAAATGTACTTTTTTTTTCTCTTTTTATTACAAATTATTGCTTGATTTTTGAAGCATCTTGAAAATGTATTTGGGCATAATGATATTTAACTTGCTGAAACAACTAAAGTTTCAGTGTAATATAAAATCATAGTGATATGAATGTATAAATCAAGGCATAGTTTAATTTTTTGTTACCCTAAATGTAGGCTCTTGAAATGGAAGTGGATTTAACTGGTCCATTGGGGAATATTCGTTCTAAAAGGTAATGGTAGTAGTTAAAAGTTCTCACTACTATTATCACTATTAGAAGTTTATAAGTGGTTTGATGTAAGACTGCATTTTGATATAATTAAACACAGTGGTTAATTATACCATCTTTTTATTGTAATCATTCTTTTTATCATTGGCTATCATAATACTAAAATGAGTCTTTCAATCTTTGTGATAAAATAACTTAGCTGTTGGCACAAATGAATCACCCACCCCTGTACAATAAAAGTTAGAAAAAAGTTTCACAATTGCAATTTCATCAAAGCTAGTAGTTCTTTTTGAATGAAATAAACGTATTTATTGTCTAGAGAGTAAAGGACTTGTTTTATAACTTCATTGCCAAAATGTGTATATCCTTCAAGTATACATTACAAATTCTGAAAGATGTAACAAATTACTAATTTCTAATCAAATTGTACATTGTACAAATGTCTCTAAACATTTTTAATGACGCTTTGTCGTTAGATTTAGTTCAGAATTTATTACTTACTTTACAAATTAGTAACGTGGAAAGAAATGGCATGTAACTCAAATTTTAAGATACACTATATCAATTGCCCAATGTTAATTTCTATTATACCTTCAGTAACATACTCCTAAATTTTTTCCTGTGTTACTCTGATCTAGACTACCTTGTTTTTAATACAAATAAAACTTTTCTTCTTAAACTTAGATATTCTATGGTGATTGAAAATGGTATTGTCAAGCACCTGAATGTAGAACCTGATGGTACTGGACTGACATGTTCCCTGGCAGATGGCATTATAAGTCAACTCTAATAGATGCGAGACATGTGACCTAGTCATAAATGGATCTTGTAATATTGTACTTTAAGTTTTTACATATATAGAATTAACTTTTTCTCAGAGTAATAATGTTATTTATTAGATGTAATAAAAAAAATTTAAAGACATTTTTGTTGTAGTATATTTACAAATTAAAAAAATTTAGTACTCGGACATTTTTGCTTGTTCTTTTTTTGCCTTTGAAAGTGAATCTAATCCTTCATTTTTGATAATTTTTTCAGGAATCAAAAAAGTCTTTTGCACAAGGTTTGTTTCTACAAGTAAGGAAAGAATGTAAAACTTGTATACTATTAATGAGGTATCCTTCCCTTTATTATGCATTATTTAGTGCAACATTTGATATGCATCTCATCACTGGAACATTTAAAGTCATTAATGTATAAGTTTTATTACACCATGAAAAAATTGCATACAACCTCAGTAGCCAATTTTGTTTTTTTTATTAAGTCACTTGACAACTGTTACTAAGGTCACTGATAAAGTAATTGCTAATACACACAACAAATTTAAAGAGAAGACTTGATAGGGAGGTAGCTGTAAGTTAAGCTACACAACTATCAGTATTTCTAAACATTCTTGTTATTAATTGGAGAACAAAAAAAAGAAATACATTCTAACCAATAGGTTACAGAATGATCTACTTGAACCAACACATTAATTTTACATGGAGTTTTATCTGAAATATTGTAGCTAATTTAAAAAAAACCCTTAACTATACTAGTTATTCTGTAACAAAAAACGGAAAAAGTTCAAAATTTTTAAATAAATGCTACTTCATCGATTTCTTGCATATTTCCATCAAATAAAATATTACAAAAACATTAAAAATATAACTGTTAACCTTAATAAAAGTTACAACTGTCATATTTCCTATACCATTTCAACTTGTTGTAGAATGTATTGAGAAAATTTCAAATATTAACAATTATCACTTGTGATGAAACTAGTTTTTCTGATACAATTAACACATTATCATTTCATCTTTTTTTTTATAATCTAAACAGATGAACTACCAAAACATTTGATATTTTTCAATAAACTCTGGTGAAGCTTACTGGAACTGTTTTAATGATGAGTATTTACAGATAGTATGAATATAAATTTTAAGTGGTTAATTATTATTGCCCCAAAAAATTTGAAGAGATGAAAGTATTTACTTTACATATTTTGTATTTTTTCTATACTTTAAAAGTTATAATTCAAACACATACAAAAAAATTACTTAATCCAGTGAAAGTTAAGTGGTTTCAAACAGAATGGGCAAAACTGAAGGTAAATAACTCATAATGGAATAAACCCATGAAAAGTGGGCATTAGTAAACATCAGCAAGTAGATAAAACAAGTTTCTACTACTCTCTCTCTCTTATTATACATCTCTAATTTAAATCTAATATTTGAAACTGTTGATTAACTGAACTATTAGTTATCTCCCTAACTGTGGAATTATTTCGATATATATGTAACCTTCACATCAATTTGAACTGCAAATCATTAAAACACCACTGATTGAATTATGAGTACTGTCTTTTTATATCAATAAATATTTTCTTCACCATGTTAAACTGGTTTTTAAAGAGTGAGACACTAGTGGAAAAACTACTAACAATTGTTAATATAATAAATTTAAAGTTAATGTCAATACATTCAGTTCATAATACTAAATCATTTATAAGAGACCTGATAAAATACGAATACACACGATGTTCTAGATGTTTTTAAACCTAACGGAAGTTTATTTTTGTAATTACTTTTGTTTGGAATTGTGTAGATGCCAGTAACAAATATTTCCACCATAACATTTAATAAAAGGTATCTTCTGCTAGATTCACAAGTTTCTGAAGTACACAAGAACATATATTTTTCACTACATTTTGTGTAAATTCATGTAACAGGTTTTGTATGTAAATAAATATGATGCTATTGAATATCCATAAATTGGAGAGTTAGATACATGTTAAATGTATTTACCAGATACTTTTGCTATATGTGAAAACTGTAATGGCTCACTATGCAACAAATTGTTTCTTGGACAAAAAGATTTATAAATTAAAACTCCTTCATCCCATCATCTATCATTCTTGCTAAACCTCTCTTAGTGTTTCTACAAGATCCGTGTAGCCTCATCTATTATATTGTACAAGATAAGAGAAGTAATTACAACAAATCTCTTGATTTTCATATTTTGAGGGGAATGAAAATATCAATAAAAAATTGTTATGGATGAGAGTTAAAGAATTACGTGATTACTAAAACCTGATTATATATGGTATTAATATATGAAATCATATGAATAGAATACTGATTTTACTAATGTATGAAATCACACATTGTACAATTCTGAATAAGTAACAATCTATAAAAGTACTCAATTACTACATATTGAAAATATGCATTTCTCCTTTATACAATATAATTTTCAAAACTGAAGTTACTGCAGTTTGGATACATGATAATCTAAAAAATCACATAGGCACTACATGCAGTTCTACAGATAAAAAAAAAGTCCAGAGTAAGAATACAAAAAAGTTACAATTTTCAATTTCTCTGGTGTTGTTGTGTTTGATAAGGTCAGTTTGCCTCAGCTTTCCAGTGTTGGGTTTAAATAATCTAACTTATGTGTACATTCATTAAAAAATTCAGGTATATATGGATATACAATGGGAACAGGAGGAATAATGCCTAAACATTTTTAGTGACAGGGCAATAAAAGATGTCCACATCATTAAAAGATATGATTGAGTTTAGAGTTCAGTAATTGTAAGTAAATACACACATTTAGTCTATTATAACAGATTCTAGCACATTGTTATAAAGATTAGCCTACTTTAAAAGCTATCCACATGTGAGAATCGTCTGTTGAAGAAAAACCACTTGGAATTCAAAATGGAGTTTATAAATTAAATGTATATATTAAGTCAAGTAAACATAGTTGACAAGGAAAGTTACAGAAAGAGGCAACATAATAAAAAAAGCTTCAGCAAGTTGGTTTCAAGCATAAATTTAAAAGGATTGTTTATATACTAAAATAATGACTCAAAAGCTAGAATAGAAGATGCTAAACTTTTTTTTAACATTTACATGGAAAATAAACAAGGTGAATAAGTGCTTCATATATATTTTTATGTTAATAAAACTAATTTGATTTACAAAGTTGTGTTTTGTTATTCAACAGATCCACACATCAACAATAAATGTGATAGATATTTAAAAAGTTAAAACTTAATCCTAAGAAACAAAAATCATACTCGAGAGGAATGTCAAGTTTCTTGTATTAGAAAAAAAAATTGTAATTAATTTCTAAACAGAAAGATGTTCATTTGCATTTCATTGCAAAGAAACAGGTTCTGACAAAGTAATACTCTGAGCTTTGTGTTATCAAAACAAAAAGGAAACATGCAGAAATAATAAAAATACATATATAAAAGATAGTCTGAATCCAAGAAGTGAAATTTCTACAACAGCGAAGAAGTAAAATAAGATTTGACTGAATTATTCTTTAGTCCAAATTTAATAAAATCTGTAATGTGGATTCATTACATTATTCAAACACTGCATAAAATCTGTAATGTGGATTAATTACATTATTCAAACACTGAATCAACCCCAAACACTGTGCCAAGCAAAACTTCACATGATCTTGTATATGTTTCTGCATCTCTTGATAACTAATAATATCCACATGAAAATGTTAAACATGAATCCTATGTTAATTTCTCATACATGCAAGTACAATATAAATGACTACTGCCAAACTCGGTCTTCAGATAGGTTTGTACAACAAGGTGGTAACATACTTCTTCCGATACCTGTGGGTAGCACTGAGAACCATTACACCATCCTGTCAAAATTAAATAACAGATATTTAACAATTACAACAGTGCTTTTTTAGAACATCAAGATTTCTTTGCTTCCTAATGCCTTTAAATATATTAAGGAAGATGAAAAAAGGCAGTCTTCTTGTGTTTTTTTTGTCTAACTCTAATTTATTTTTAGCAGTGTATTTTTTTTTTTTTCAAATTTTACTTCTTTTCCAATTTTTATAGGTGTTTTATTTTATTATCATTGAGAGAATAACCACAAGTAAAACAGGAACTGTACTATAACTTTTAAAACTGGCAAGAAAAAAAGAATAGGAGAAACTTAAAGATGTGTAATTAATTATGTATTTCTTCTGTCCATATTCAGATGGTTCAATTATATTCCAGTTATTCATCAAAAATTACTAATTTTCAAATTTTTCCATTAAATTTGATACAATAAACAAAAAATATAAATAATTTATTGGGAATAACAGAAACTTACTTAATTTAAACTCATTACTATTTGTTCAAAAGAAAATTCCTCTCTTTATCTCTACATTAGATTATTTGTTGTTGTTTTTTTGTTAAAAATGAAAATAAACAAGCACACCATAACCTTTTTTTGGGGACAAATATTTATTGCATTTAGAAAAAGTCCCTTTAGAGTGGATGGCAATATTTTATAGTTTAGCAATTCAAACTGAAAAAAATTTAACTAATAGTTACAAGCAATCAAAATTTACTCAGTAAACAAAGTGGTATGTGAAACAGCCACTGACATCATATGTTGGACTAATTATTCTCTGTTCAGATTTTTCTAACTGGATACTCTGTTTTGTTTAGTGGTTTTCAACCTTTTGTTCCTTTCCCCAAGTATAACCATTTTTTCTTGCACCCCTCCCCAGTATGATAACCATTTTATCACCTCTTTTATCCACTTTAAAATTTTAGTTGCCCCCAACTGACCATTTATTGCAAAGATATTCCTCCAGAAGGGGGTGGGGACATCCTACAAGTAAGGAACTGCTGGACTAGTATGATAATCATTAATCCAACAGGGAAGAAGGTTTCAAATTGTACAGTGTAAGTATTAAATCACCTATACACCTTGAAATAAATTTAAAGAGTGGTTTCATAAACAATATACATTTTCTCAAGAAAAACATCATGTAGCATTCATAAAACCAGCTAAGTGCACCTTGACAGAATTAACACATTAAACAACTTTTAAGTTTGTATAACAATAAAAAAATAAAAATAATTTTCACCTTGATGGAGAGGGCATACAGATGGTTTAACATAACATGGTTGGGTTCAGGAAGCAGAGTTGGTTCACACTGACAGAAAGGAGAAGAAATAGATATACCTAAACTGATAAACACATCAGTCACAGTATAATAGTTATTCAAAATAACACAAATTAGAAATTAACCGATACTGGAGTTATTGTGGAATTACTATTCCATTCAAACAATATCTATGATTAAAATATGTTTGAATTAAGCAACTGATAGGTGCTGCTAATAATTCCAGTACACCAGCAAGTTCAGTCAACTAGTTAAATGGATCTGATAACAATCTACATACACATTTAGGTTAACTAAACTGTCCAACGTAACTTTGGGTTCAGGTCCAAAGTTATCCTAAACAAACAAAACTGCACATATATTCAAAACAATTCTTTAAAAAACAGAGTTTAGGGTTCTTAATGTCTGTCTTAATATTTCACTATCCAAATATACACAAAGATCCAGAAAGTAAGCAAGAAAACTTCTATCAGTTAGCTCAACATTGAATTTCCACTGCACAATTAAAACAAATTTAACATTAACTGTTTCAATCCGGGCTCGATCCCAGGGACCGACCTCGTAACCATTCTGTACTTGTTATAGTTTTCATGCTATAACTTTTAAATCAGTAAACGAATGTTAACAAAATTTGGGAGTAAAATATCTTTTTTTTAATTAAGTATTAAGGTTTGTAAAGCAATGTTTCTCTCATGCCTTTTTTTCTTTTCACATCTTGCCTATCTATCATACAAAGTAATTTTCATTTTAAGATTAAAAATACTTTTATACATCAGAAAATTTTGAAATTTCACAAGCAAAATTTTAATAATGTCTGGATGGTTATCAAAAAAAACTTTATATTTTATCTGTTATTTTCAGTAATTAATCTCTGTA